TTTAAAAACAGAAATTTGACTTTGCTAACCAGAAGCTTCCTCTGTATCTAAATAGTATAGCACATCAGTCTATATGACGGCTCCGTGTAGGATACAGGTTCGATTCCTGCCGGAGGACACATATTTTCTATGAAAGTTTCTCGGACATTCAGGGCGGTAAATGTCGTTACTACTGTTTATTATAAACGGAGAATTTACTTAAATATTTGGATCTATAAAAATAAAGTATAAACAGAAAATATATTAAAATAATTGTCAGACTTAGTCCATTTCATAATATATATATATATATATATATATATATATATATATATATATATATATATACACACACACAGAGATAAGGGAGGTCAACACCAATTCAATTTTATGCTTGAAAAGAAATTTTCAAATCATATTGAGCCCTTTTACACATAAATATAGCATACTATATTTTATCATATATATATATATATATATATATATATATATATATATATATATATATATATATATATATATATATATTAGTACATATACTAGTACCTACGTGTTAGTGTGCGACTTAAGTTTCGATGAATTACAACTCGTCGTGCACAAAATGTACTAATTAATATATATCTTAGCTCGACCTAACTACATCGAGCACTATTATGTTTACATCTCAATATATAAATTTCATGACTATTTATCTGTTTGCCAGTACGCGTGTATACCCTTGTTTATATCTGGTCGTTTGATTTATCTATCCCTATATATATATATATATATATATATAGGTAACTACACTCGTCTTCTGTTTCTTGATTTGCTAATGGTCAAATCAATCTCGAAGGAAAAAACGGTTTTAAAAAAAGAAAGAGCTAGGAACATAAACGTCTGTCGAAAATAATCGTACAGCATACAGCTCCAAAGCCCAAAGAAAAAAAACCCCGATACGAGTAATGAACTAACTAAATAAAGTGCTCAATACAAAAGTAGAGCAGACTTAGTCAAACCTAGAGAGCCAGACAAGCCTACCAAGTTTTCACCCAAGCGGATCGTCAGGGAAAGCTTAGGTGAAGCTATATATATATATATATATATATATATATATATATATATATATATATATGATCGAAATAAATACTTTTTCTTTTTTTTCTCCCCCCAATTCCTCTATTGTACATTTTTCTGCATTAATTTTGAATCTCCCGTTGAAGACTGAAGAGCGGGAGCGAAACCGGTTGCTACCCTCTTGTTTTTTTTTTGTTTTTTGTTTTTTTTTTATTTTTTAATATGTCTGGTAATATTAAATTCTACACTTTTATTTCGATCATTAAATTTTGTACCTACAAAATATCTTTAAATATATATATATTATATATATATATATATATATATATATATATATATATATATAGAGAGAGAGAGAGAGAGAGAGAGAGAGGAACGGAAATAAAGAAAAAACGAAAATGGAACAAAAAGAATGGAGATTTGAGAAGAAAACTTTCAAAATTAATAGAAAGAAAGAAAGAACGAACGAAAGAAAGAAAGAAAGAACGAACGAACGAAAAGAAAGAAAGAAAAAGAAAGAAAGAAAGAAAGAAAGAAAGAAAGAAAGAAAGAAAGAGAAGCCTAGTATAAAGACAAAAATATTAAACTGAGAAAGCCGAGATAAAATGAAAATGATATCGGATAAGAAATGAAGACTACAACTGAAAGTATAAAGAAGAATGAAAAAAAAAAAACAATGAAAATGCTATAATAAAATGAAGAGGACAGAAAGATGATAAGCCAAGCATTAATAAACCTGTTATTTCACTCGCCTTTCTCCTTGAAACTGCCAACTTTGTGCGCCTTTCATTTCGAAAGCGTTCCTCGGATACTGGAGGCCGTAAACTCTTAATAGACAGGCTTCAATTTTTGGAATGGAAATAAAAGCGGGTAATATAAGAACACTTTCTCTTGGTTTCGCCTCTTAGCCTTTCCGCCTCAGACGTCCATTCTCGGTTCTGTGCCGCCAATGTCCAGTAAAGACATACCGACTTCCGTAGATCTTCGGTTGTAATGACAGCAGAAGAATAAACAATTCATGAGGAATAATAATAATAATAATAATAATAATAATACCCCGTAAAGAAGGTGGAAGAGGTCTTATTCAGCTAGAATTGTCATACAAGACAACAACTATTGGCTTACTAACTTACATGGAAACAACAAATGACTGGATGATAAAATTAGTGAAACAACATGAAAACAGAAAGAAAAAATATTCAATAATAAAAGAAGGCAGTAAATACAAACAACATTTACATTTAGTAGATTCTGTAGTAAATCAAAACAGAAGCCAAGAACCAACTATTGCAGCAAAAGATATGAAAAAAAGCCAAGGATAAAGCCCTTGAACAGATGAAACAACGCTGGCAAGACAAACCTCTGCATGGCCAATATCCAGAACGTGCAAATAAACCCAATGTTGATAAAGTTAATACTCATCGATGGTTACGAGCATCTGGATTAAAGTCTGAAACTGAAGGCTTTATTCTTGCAGCGCAAGACCAGAGTCTTTTTCACTAGGAATTTTCAGGCAAATATCATACATAATAATGTGGATCCAAAATGCAGGTTCTGTGACAAATACCAAGAAACAATAGACCATCTAATCTCAGGATGTTCTATACTTGCCCCAAATGAATATAAAAATCGTCACGATAGAGTGGGGCAATACTTACACTGGACAATGTGCAAACACTTTGGAAAATGTGTAAGCAAACACTGGTATGAACATCGGCCAGCGCCGGTTACAGAAATAGAAGATGTCACCATTCTATGGGATTATACCATCCACACAGACAGAAAAATTGAAGCAAATAGACCGGACATTATTGTCAAAAACCAGAAAGAAAAAAAACTTGCCTACTAATTGATATGGCTTGTCCAGCGGATTGTAACATAGCAACCAAAGAATTTGAAAAACTATCAAAATACAAAGACCTGGAAATTGAAATAATAGAAAAAATGTGGAAATTGAAAACAAGAATAATACCAGTGGTAATAGGTGCACTTGGAATTATAAAAAATGGAACAAAACAACACATTGAAAGAATCCCTGGAAACCCCAGCTTAAGAGACATACAGAAAATTGTCTTATTAAGTACAGCACACACACTAAGGAGAACTTTGTCTATGTAACGCTAGCAACTTCATCGGAAAAAAAAAAAAAAAAAAAAAAATTAACATGAAATGTGGCCATAACAACACACCACGACCTGCCTTAGGTCTTTCCGCAGACTTGGTAGGTAGTGTGTCCATAGCAGAAATCGAATGATGATGATGATGACAATAATAATAATAATAATAATAATAAGAAGAAGAAGAAGAAGAAGAAGACTCACATATGAACATGGTCCAACAATCTTTATTCGTCAACAAAGGCCATTGTAGAAAATTTTAAGAAAGAAACAAACGAATAAAAGAAAGAAAGATTCAAGCGAACGAGAAAGAAAGAAAGAAAGAAAGATAGAAGGGATATAAAAAGAATTTAGAAAGAAAGAAAGAAAGAAAGAAAGAAAGAAAGAAAGAACGAAAAATAAGTGTCGAGAAAATTGGTGTAAAAGAAATACACGGAGAAATAATAAAAGTGAAAGAGAAAGAAAGAAAGAAAGAAAGAAAGAAAGAAAGAAAGAAAGAAAGAAAGAAAGAAAGAAATATTTTTTGGAAAATGGGAAGATATTGCGAGAGAAATTTCTGTTCATCTTCAAACAGATTATGTACATACAGATACCCCAGGACATAGATATCGACCTGTAAATCTGAATAGACTTGTCGAATAGACAGGGAAAGATTGTCAGACACGTTGAAAAGAAAAGCTATACACAAACGCAAATATATTAGAAAACAAAATAAATATCGAATATTCACATATAATTATGTATATCGATCAATGAAAACATTCATAGATACAATCGCATTATGATAAACGTGATCAGACTGAGATACCAAGAAACTGAAATAGCTTAAACTCAAGTGAAATCTATAACGTATAGATTGGACTATATATATATATATATATATATATATATATATATATATATATATATATATATATATATATATATATATATATAAGCCCCATTTATTTTATTTGACAACGGCAGAAACCTGTTGGTGGTCTTTTAAAGTAAACACCAACATGGAATCAAAACTACATTTCTATCACACAGTTTACAATTATTATATATATATATATATATATATATATGAAGAAATATAGTTTTAAGGGTGCTATATTTATGGGATAAAGTGCTTAATATCAGAGATATAGTGTATGCAAATATAAATATAAAAGCGAACATTGAAGTCAACACTCAGATGCGACGGGCTGTTTATATATATATATATATATATATATATATATATATATATATATATACATTTATTGCCTCAAACGTTATTTTTTGTGGATACTCACCTTTAAAATAGACGCCCCATGTTTATTTTTAAAAGAAGTGTATTACATCTGTCGGTGTGGGCACTGGAGAAATCGTAATAAATAAAATGTGCTCTTTGACAGGTTTCGAACCTGTGTCTTACTTTGTAGGAAAAACTACCGTTTCCTCCGGTGTGCTTTAGCCCACTCGGTCACAGAGAATGTCACAAGTCAGCATGGTACTAGTTTCCCTTATAAGAAATATACACTTCCTCGTTCAGACTTTCTTTTCTAAAGCTTAGATTTGCTTAGTTTTGTATCCGAAGCACAAACAAAGCAATTCCTAAAGAATTAATGGATTTATTTTTAATCCGACATTTTATAACTTCAATTTTTTTTTTTTAGTGGATACCCGTATTTGAAATAGACGCTTCGTTTTTTTACATCTGTTACTCTCTACTTGTAAGAATTAAATTTTAGCCCGCTTTATGTTTATTTGAGTTCAAAGCAGAACTTCTTGGAGAATTTAAATCATAAATTTCTTTTTGTAAAACAGAACCCGTAGTTATCGAAAATCTGCTCTGAATCGTAAAATATAAATGCAATAAAATTAAGACATTATATATATATATATATATATATATAGATAGAAAGATAGATAGATAGATAGATAGATAGATAGATATGAACTGAACGATATATATATATATATATATATATATTTATATAGATAGATAGATAGATAGATCGATAGATAGATAGATAGATAGAGAGAGAGAGAGAGATATGAACTGAACGAGAGAGATAGATATGAACTGAACGAGATAGATAGATAGATAGATAGATAGATAGATAGATAGATAGATATGAACTGAACGAGATAGATAGATATGAACTGAACGAGATAGATAGATATGAACTGAACTAGATAGATATGAACTGAACTAGATAGATAGATAGATAGATAGATAGATAGATAGATAGATAGATAGATATGAACTGAACGAGATAGATATTTTCTGATTATGTCGTATATGAACAACTTTTAATTGCTTTTATGAATAATATACATTAAGGATACTATTGTCTTAAGAAAAATAATTTTCCCATGAATAATGAATTTTTACAAGAATTAATTTAATTTTTGTTTTTCGTTTTCATTAGAATAATTTATAATGTTTTAAATCTTTTAAAATTCTGTATTAATCTGTAACAATTAGGTGATATCATTATTTAGTAAAAACTACATTTACTAATCATAAATCGAAAAGCTTATTGCAATTTAGTGACCCGCTGTATGTTAAAAAGAATTTCAAACTTTTTGCATGTATATAAACGTGCCGATTTTTGTAGATATGGTTATTCATATACGCCATAATCAGAAAATAAGAGTAATAACAATAGTAAATTTAAAGTCAAAGTATCTAAAACTCACTGAAACATTAGCTTTTTAAAATGATGTTCACGTTATTTTTTACAGATATAAGCACCGTAAAAAAAAATAGATAAACCTCCATCTCTCATTCAAGCTGTCAACAATTGAAATAAAAAGCTCCCGCCGTGTTAAAAAAAAAAAGGCATTTCTGCGATATTTTAAACTTAAAGTAAATAATTTTTTTTTCAAATCAGATTAATTAAACTTTAAATCAACTAATATTCCTCAAATAAAGTTTCAGAAAAGTATATTATATTTTTGGAAGATTTTTATTTACTAAAGAGAATGACATTCTGATGAAACGTGGCTAGAAATTGAGCGAAAATCAACAATTTCAGCAATTTCAAAGCGAAAACTCCATCCAGTCAATTTAAATTAATTTTGGGATACAGCAATGTATTTTGCTTATTGGAAATATTAAATTTAATCTATTAACTTGAAATTAAATAAAAATGAAATCTTGAAGAAAAGTTTTTTTTTCCTTTTAAAATATTTATTTTAAACCTGTGAAGCTGTTATTATATATATATATATATATATATATATATATATATATATATATATATATAACCTTTATATTATGTATATATATATATATATATATATAACGTTAAAAAAATTAATATTGCCCTACTTTTGTATTAAGCCCTGTTTTAAATTAATATTTTGAACGCTGAAATCTTTTACACTTCGTACTTTTACATCTGTATATATACATCTGTATATATATATATATATATATATATATATATATATATATATATATATATATATATATATATATTAAAGAGAGAGAGAAAACAGTGGGAAAGTGGGAGGGAGACAGTCAGACAGACATTCAGGAAGAGAGAGAGAGAGAGACATAGAGAAAAGAGACCAAGGTTGGTTGATTTTACGTCAAACCATGTTGGATTATTTAATGTATCAATTTGTATGAAACACCCGGTGAGGCTTAAATCAATGATCAATCAAAATAGCCATTGCCCTATGCCGAGGAGCATAAACAGATATTAACAAAAACAAAAACGGAGGGAGCCAAACACCAAAAATAAATGATAGATATATTACAATAGAATAGAAATAAATATATATGCACTGACGGTGATAGAAAGAAAACGGAAAATACATTAAATTCAAATTCTAATAAGACATGCGTCTATAAAATTCGTAATTATTTTCTTTGCTTGACTGGCAATAATTGTAAGCCACCGGTTAATTAAACATCCAACAGAGACTCATAATGATGGAATTTACATATTGTAATATGTAAGCAAATATATGGATATAGATCCGACAGTATGAAGAAAAATATACAGAAAAAACAAACAAAAATCCTAATATGCAATTATGCTGTATTAATGTTAATATAAAGTCAACGTCGGACGTTTCGGTCTATTTTAGACCATCTTCAGGACATTTTCATTAAACATAATTAACATTAGAACATATAAAATTTAACATGAAAAGACGATGGACATAAGAGCACAATTAATCCAAACAGATAACTGAAATTTTTATATAAGATCAGCGTTCCGTTTAAATATGATCACGTCGTCGTCACGTGGGCGATGTTTTGAAAACGTATTCGAAGATGATTTCCAAATATTAAAATATTAAAAAAGTCGATTGAACTATTTTATATAAACAGTTCAAGAAATCCCTTCCGTTGATATAGGAATACGCAGAGATCAATAGGTTCTTATATCTTCATACAAGCTTGAAGTCCTCCACGTTACAAAGCAAAGCAAAAATGATTTCAAAATATCAGACAGGCACGATGGAACAATTTTAAAACAGTTCGTCAATAAATCCTTTCCTTACTTGATCAATAGATTCTTATATTTTCGTACAAGCTTGAAGTCTTCCATGTTATAAAGTAAATTCAGGTTTATAATATAGGTTTATAGGTTTGTAATATGTATCGAATATTCATGTATTTAATGACTTGGCCCCAAATGTCCATACTGTCTTTTCTCGTGACATAACATTAGTGGCCTTTTGAATAAATTTCATACACAAAATTGCATTTGATTGAATTCCATTTCATATCAAAATTGCCAAAGTCCGTGTATCTTTCTTTATTGATTTTAAATTTGAAGATAAATTAAAATAAGTAAGACCTTTGACATATTATCGTATTTTCATTGCATAACGTGCACTGTTTCCTTGAAGAAGACAAAAATACAAACATCACCCTTCTTCTTCTTCTTCTTCTTCTTCTTCTTCTTCTTTGTGCCATTTCTTCTCATGACGTAGGCGATCGATGCTCTTCACAACTTCTCGTTCTTTGTAGTCCTAAGTAAGGGTTGTCTTTTTACTATCGCTCCTAATCTCTGTTCTGCCAACCATGTACACAAGCTCGTTAAGTAGGTTATGCGCTGTTTTCATCTGTTCTTCAATATGTCCTGTGTGTGGCAAATTTTCCAAGCCCTCGTCCTTCGTTTTATGTCCTAGAAATTTCAATTGACTCATTCTGATGCGAAGTATATGTGGCCATTTTGTTTCCATGTTCTCTAAAATTTCGTCGTTGCTCACATGTTCAGTCTATGTAATTCTCAGCATCCTTCTGTAGAACATTATTTCTATCGCTTCAAATCTATACTTCATCTGTGGGGACACTATCCAGCATTCACTGCCATAAGGGAGGGATGACATTACAATAATCCAGTACTCATTTCTTTATTTCTAAGAAAATTTTCCTGTTTCTTAATACTTTGCTTATATTTTGGAAGGCATCTTTCGCTATCCCAAAAGCGCTTTCGGATTTCAGAGTCATACACTCCGTCCTCTGTTTAAAAAAAATTCACGGATATTTAAATGGTTGTACGTTTGATATCTCCAATTTGTAATTTGCATGTTGGGCTGTCCCTTTTGCTAGCAACTATGCCTTTAGTCTTATTGCAATTGATATTTGGTCCTTTCTTCCTTCATTAGCTTCTGTAGTAGTTCTTCGTATTTGAAATAGACGAATCGTTTTTATTCATGAAACAGAATATATTACGTCCACCATCCCCGCATTCGAGAGTAAATAGTAAAGAAAATCTGACAGGGTCCCTCTGGCAAGAATCTTATCTGCATCCCTCTTTTTAGGGGAAACTAGTCTTTGATCTGGCATGCCTTAAGGCTTAGTCACGAAGAACTTAACAGTAAAAATGGCTCTTCTTACTCTATTTAAGGAAAACACGTGCCTTTCAACCAGATTATTTTTCTCGAGAACTCATATCTGTTTTCTTTCCTCTCCGAAACGTAAACAAAACAATTTCTAAAGAAGTAATGGATTTTTATTTTTAACCTGACATAATACATAATATCACGGATCATCGCAGCACAAAGCGATATACGAGCTAATAGAAAAATCAAACGGATATACTCGGAGTGGGCTGATTTCAAATCCAAATATATACTGTATTTGACGGCATATAAGGCGCACTTTTTTTTTACTAAAAATATATTTTAAAATCCCCCCGCGTCTTATATGCCATATGCCAATGATGCATTATTTAATGACTATGATAGTAGTATTGAAAATGAGTTTTGATAAAAAAAGACAACAAATTTTATGGATTTGAAGATAAATAAAATTTTAATGGTAACTGTACTGTTTTGATAAATTCTAATAATTGCTTGATTTTTATTTTGTTTTCTGACCTTTTGTTATAATAAAGTTTTTATAGGCTCGTGTACTTTTTTTCCTATTATTTTTCGTTTAATTGTAATCATAGCTTCTTTAACCAAAATAATACCTCATAAATATAGCCTAGGCTATACCATTTACTAATAATTTTACTAATTACTAATTATTTCTTGATTTTCTCTGCTTAAATTGTGGTGCATCTTATACACCAGTGCGTCTTATATGCCGTCAAATACGGTAATTATTTTCTGATACATTTTGACAACGCCTTTATTCGCAGTGATACTTTTAGCATCATGATACATTTAGTATCATGATACATTTCGTATAATAATTTTCTGATACATTTTGATCTGTGGGATCCAACAACGTCTTTATTTAGTATCATGATACATTTACTATCACGATACATTTAGCATCATAATTTTCTGATACATTTTGATCTGTGGGATCCAACAACGTCTTTATTTAGTATCATGATACATTTACTATCACGATACATTTAGCATCATAATTTTCTGATACATTTTCATCTGTGGGATCCAACAACGTCTTTATTTAGTATCATGATACATTTACTATCACGATACATTTAGCATCATAATTTTCTGATACATTTTGATCTGTGGGTTCCAACAATAACTTTATTCGCAGTGATACATTTAGTATCATGATGCATTTAGTATCATGATACATTTAGTACCTTGATATATTTAGTATCATGATACATTTAGTATCATAATTTTCGGATAAATTTTGAGCTGTGGGCTCCAACAACGTCTTTATTCGCAGTGATACTTTTAGTACTTTTAGAATAATAGGAATTCAGTTGAAACCATAAAATCATCTCGTAAAATGTTTATTGCCGAAGATGGCTATTATAAAGTTGGCGTTTGAGGTCATATTCCGTGATTGACTTCTGTCAGGCAATGTGTTAAGTATGAAGTCGA